TAACTTCATTAGCTCTTTTACCATACCTTTCTCATACTCGCTATATGTGCTATTAGATATTTGCTCTTGTTTGCTTTTCATTATAGAGAAGTATTCTGTAACCAAATATTTATTATACAAGAAAAAAAAATATATAATAATACTCCTGAGCATTTTGTCGCTCAATCACGCTATGTCTCTTCTTTCACTAATAGCTTATTGGAGTGAGCTGGCTATGTGAGACGTACATTCATTTTGATATTTCTCTGGGAGCTTTGTCTTTATAGCTCTTTTTTTAGCCACTTCATGAGGGATACTATCTTTGATCATATTCTTATAAATCATATTATGCTAATGTCCATAAGTTAATTCAGATACCTCATCTGTTAGATATCAACACTTAGTATTTAAGGAACTGAGAGCCTTTTTCTTAGACTCAACTATAGATAGTACTTGATCTTTTGATCGGATGCCTACTTTCTTGACGTAGAATACTTCTTTACCAAAGAAATAATCTTGATATACTTGGGTTATAGGATCGAATACTTTGGATTCATCTACCGGATCATCAAACAATAAATCAGCTAATTTTGACATATGTGTATCTGTAACCATTTCACCTATACCCTTCTTACTAATCCCTTTATGTCTTGAATTTATAGTCTTATCTGCTAAAACATAATAGTAAGACTTGGATCGAATTTGAAATGATTCTGTGATCATATTACCTGGGTCTCATCCTTATATTTGCCAACTATTTGATCTTTATTAAGATTAAAGAGATCCAGTTGTTCATTCATATCTTTATAGATATCTTCAGTCTTAGTTTTGAAGATGTAAGAGTCTGTATTCATATAGCCAAGTTCAACATCATCCCTATATTTTTCCTTCAAATAACCATACTAGAATTTATACATGTGAAGCTTACTAAGTCCTAAAACAGATGCTATAACTATGATTGGCTTATTGAGAGTCACGCTAGCCTTTCCCATATGAACACCTACTAATGTAGGTCCAAGTGGTCTGCCATACTTGAAAGATGGCATGCAGACCTTATTCAAAAAAGCTTTTTCATCTCGCTCATTATTATTCTTCATAATCTTGACATCCTGGTATTTGTGAATATTTTTCATAGTCTTGCCATATACTGATACATTTATAAGTTTGAAAAAGTCACTCAGAAATGTATTTCCAGCTTTTTTAGCCTCATTACGTTTCTCAGTATTAAAAAATATATATAGTTCAAGCCAGTTAATCTGGGCGAAAAAAAGTATTTCTGAAACTTCATCTACAACCATACCTAATTCAACATAATATTGGAGCTCTTGGTAATAGATGACGTAGTTCTTTCGTGGTCCAAGATGGGGGACTAATTTTTGTGGCAGAGAAGCGTTCACCATCTAATTGTTCTACAAGTTTAGCATTATAAGGACTTAACCAATCCTTTTCTACAGTAATATTTTTTACGGCTAGAAGTAAGTCTTTTAAATAATCATGAGTCTTTAAAGTAAAATGAGCATTAATATTTAAGAAATACTCTCGTTTAGCATCAGATCGTGTATTGAGAACCTTTTCAAGATATTTCTTTTGCATAACTAAATTTTTTAGTAAATATTCCCGACTAGCTTCCCATTGATATTTTCTGATAGGCAAATATTGACTCATAGAATGTCTATAAAGATTTGTTGCGTCTACATATAATATCTAGGATGTGGGTTTGGATGGATCATAGGCTTCCCCCATTTTGGGATTATTAGCCTTAAATATCGTTGACAGGCCATAGATATACCACTTCGCTTAGCTTTTTCAGTAAAATCATGCATAGTCATATCTGTGAAAAGTTCAATCCTAACTCCTGACATCTTAAGTATTCCATCCTAGGATAATGATGGGGCAGAAATATAGTAACTGGAATCAAGTTCATAATATTCCATAGACATTTTTTGAAACTATGTCCAGACATCTGCTAGACTAAGTATGTCAATTTTAAGATAGAGATCATGGTATTCACATAGATTTTTACATCTGAATTCCTTCCATACTTTCTGGGCATATTTGTAGTTATCTTGTGAGATCTTATCTTTAAGAGTACTATAAAATTAATGAATGGAAAGAAGTTCTGTCTCCTAAAATCTATCATGAGAATCGATATAGTCATAGGGATAAACTCCTATGTGATATACTAATGTATATTACTCTTCTGTATAACTTACCTTTTTGAAATATTGGCTTGTTATTGGGTGGTTATTACCCAAATTTTTTGTAAGACTAGCAAAGCTACTATTCATGAACTGCATGATATCTATATATTTGAGTTGACCTACCTTCATAGTCTTATATCGCTCAAATATTTCAGCTATAACTTAGATATGAAGAGCATTAGCTGATCGCCCGACAGACTCACAAAGCAAGTGAGAGTCATAGCCTCGAAAGTTGTGAAATATAACTGGAATTAGGGTCTTTCAATCCTGTATTTGGAGTTTAAGATTACAATCCCTATGGGTTGATCCATGAAACTTACCTGTAATATAATAATGATTCCAGACCTTATTGGCTTTAGCTTTTTCACTAGCAATTGCCTTAGTTGCTTTATCAATAGTTGTTTCGATGCAATTATATTCTGTTGACTCTTTTTTAAAGCTTTTTAGTTTTTCTTTAAGATATGTTATTTTATTTTCTAAGCACTCAATTTCATCTATATCTATATCAAACTTACCTTTACAGATCCAACAGTTAATTGCCTTTGTGAAATTTTTCTTGTCTTCTTCAGTATCAATTTGCTTATGTTTGATGGCTAGGATCTCATTGATTTTAACCAGCTCTTGATCGATTCTTCGAATGAATTCTTGTGTGGCATTTTCTCCCCTATATAGGAACGGACCCCAGATATCTTCAGTATTGATCCAGTGAACCAAATAGCAGAAACTGTTGGCCTTCTTCTCAGTGAGTTTAATCATACTTCCACCATATGTCTCATTACATTTCTTATTATTATCCTCAAAGTCAGCTGTAATAACACATGAAGCATTGATCATTCGACCATAGTTTTTGAACTTCTCGTAATCATTAACT